CCTTGCAAAAAGTGAACTGGATGTACTGTTTTGTCTTTTTTTCTATGGCATAGGATAAACACAAGTCTTTCTATTTTTGTATTATTTGTATACAATTTTATTTCAGTAAGAAAAAAAGCCCCATCATTCTTAAGAAATGAAACATGATGCACTGTCCAAAACATTGATTCTACTCCTCCTCCCACGTATTGTCACTTGCATAGCCTGGAGCTTTTGCACATTTACTTTGCTACTCCCTGGAACATGTCTCCAGTCATTGCTTTCCTTCATTGCTCTTGCGAGCAAGGACTCAAAATAAGGAATTTGAACATTTAAGATCTGATCCTATCTGACAGCAGCTTACCCTTTAATGTAAAATTTGTCAATCCAATCCTAAGCCCCTTTGCTAGCAATGGAGATGCTGACAATCATAGACGCAAAATATGGCTTTTAGAAGCGTCTCATCTTTTGACTACGGTGAACTTCAGTGAGCTTATCAGTCAGGTACAGAATGCCCATGTTACAACCAGCTTGTCTTTCACTAACAGTCTGAGCGAGTTTGTAAGGGCATGAACACATTTCAGAGACCTGTAGCTACAGATACCTATTATGAGACATCACATCTGCCAACCCCACAAGCAGCTGAGAAACGAGTTGTATTCACAGAATCACAGAATGTTAGGGATTGGAGGGGATCTCAAAGGATCATCTAGTCCAATCCCCCTGCCAGAGCAGGACCACCTTGATCAGATCACACAAGAACGTGTCCAGGCAGGTTTTGAACATCTCCAGAGAAGGAGACTCCACCACCTCTCTGGGCAGCCTGTTCCAGTGTTCTGTTACCCTTACTGGGAAGAAGTTCTTCCTCATGTTGTACTACCAAGTATTTCCTACGAGTTGACTTTGGGAGTTCTGTTGCTGCACGGTTAGAAAAAGGAATGCTGAAATGGAAGGTTAGATTTGTAAGTGCTTTTGCAAGGTTGAACTGAATTTAATCAGGGAAGGAAAGGTTGATATAGACTTTTAACATCTAACTTGGCTAGAGGATGGCTGAACATGTATACCCTTTGTCCAGCAACAGTATCTTGAGATAAAGTCCAGGAATCCTACCACTAATTTATGTTTTGGGTTTCTGGTGGTTTTCTCAGTAGTTGATCTATCTGTCACCAACCTGCCAAACAGGGATTTGATGAGATAAATGGAGTTACAGGAAGGAGAGACAACAAACCCTGAATATGGTTTTAGTCCTCCTGTTAGCAGTATGCAGCATGCGTTCATCACAGAAGGTCATAGGTGGTGACTATAATGTTACAGAATGCCCCTTCACAGTTAGATTAGATTTTGTCTATGATATCAGCATTAGTTTATTCCATCAGCACTTCATTTGATGAAAATTGTCTCTGCAGACTGCTTACCAGAGGGTTTTATATCACTTTGACACTTAGTACAGATGAAAATGCTTTACCTTGAGAGGCTATTAAATATCTTGTTAAATATATTGCCATGTTTGACCAAAAATTCTAGGATATTTTCTTTGGTGTTATTCGTAAACACAATACAGAACACAGCTCAAATTGAATTTTCCTATGTCATCTGACCTAAATTATTTTCCATCGTTTAATCCCTCTTAAATCATAATTACAGTCATAAAATGACTGGTCATTCTCATAAGCAGAGAATTAGTGGATTGAGATGGAGGATGGAGTGTGTCATGCAGTTTTAAAGCATTGCAGTGATTTACTGCACCATAATATAGAGACAACACTGAAGGGAAGTAGAAGAAAAGCAGAACTGGTACTGCTGTGTTTCTCCTACAGATGGGAAATCAATAACGTATTTTTGATGAAAGGTGGAAGCTGCAATTCATATTTGTAAATGCAATGTGTTGAAAATCTATGTAGCATTAATAAAAAATGTTCGTGGACTACTTTAAAAAAAAGGTTTTTTTCTTTCATTCACCTGTAAAATACATTACGTGTCTTCAACTGCAGAGCATACGATACAAGCAAGCACATCAGGAATAGCAACATGAGAATGAGAAACATGGTGCAGAGCCAGCATCAAATGTTTTTGCACTTAGACCTCACTGGGAAATGCAAAGTTCTCTGGTAAAATGGTTTGAGGAATATTGTGTAAATTACAAAAGTCAGTATCTCTGGCTGCGGGTCAATATGACTTGCCACTAGAAGCTGGAAATGTATCTATTGTGATTCTGCAAGACTTCGCTATTGTTACTGCTACTGGAGAGAACACAAATACATAGTGAATAGATTTGTTTTTACTAAATGTTTCATTTAATAAATCTACCTTGTCTCATAACTGAAAACAGTAATGAGAGTACTTTAATTACCATTTCTTCTAGCCTTAATTTTCAGGAAGATGATGTTGCTATGCAGATGTATTTAAATCTTCCTAACGCAAAGAGATTAAATCACTAACAAAAGTACGTGAATGGCCAAGTAATAAAAGGAAAATATCTAAGTACACAAAAATAGCGTGAGACTACAGAAATCATATCCTAAAACTAAAGAAATTTTGAACATTTTTTGTGTTCTTAGGCTTCAAAGGCTTCTTCACCTCCCAGGGAAGCTTCATTCTCTGTGATTACACCTCAAGAATAAAGAGCATATAATCCAAAAGACATGTAATACTGGTGGTTAGAATTTTTAAGAAAAGTTAAATTGAGGCAAGACTCACTCTATTTATCTCACTCCATTAACTTTCCTTGTTCTTCTTCAGTATTTTTAATCACAGTATCAACTAATCGCATTAATCACTATTTTCTGTTGAAGTTTCCTACAAAATTATATGCATTTGACCTAAAAAGTATTTGTCTTAGGTTTAAGTATGATCAGATAGTACGTAAGCAAAACTTAAGCTTGCTTATGACAAACTAGATTATGTACTACTTCGTTGAAAGGAATAAATGAAGTCTTCATTTTATCCTACAAGTTGTACAAGATGCTCAAGAAAGCAGGAGCCTTCAGTTTTAGAGAAATACTACTTTTTATTCTGGTTGATTCTGTTACCATCAGGAAACTGCAGCTTTCCATTGTCCTCAAAGTTTTTCTACTTCTTTGGCTTGCGGAGGAAGATGAAGAACAGGAACTGTCCGCCCAGGGATGCTGTGCACACCAAACCCTGGCAAAGATTTCAGTCATTGCAGATAGGAGCCAGTAGCTCAGTTTCTGTAATCAGGCAAAGCTTAGGTAATGCTATTATCAAAATGGTGGCAAACAAGGTTAGTTATAAAAGACTGTTTTCCTAAGAAAAGTTGCTTTACATAAAAGGTAAAGCATTTCTTTATCTTGATAGTGTGTGCTGAGAGAGGAACAGCAACTAAAGGTTCATCCAGAACTGCCTTACTAGACTATTCAAGTGCTTGAGTCCTAATTATAAAATGGCAATATCTTGATCCAATCTTTAAAAATAAACTTTTCCTCTTATTTACCAACATTTGCCCTACAGTGGTATTTTTGGAATATTTTTGTTGCATTCTGACTCAAATACTTGGAAATGTTCTAAAGCAAGCATTGCAGTATCTTAGCTGTTGGTAAAGGGAGGAGGACTATTAGGAGCAGCCAGTGCACATAACAGCCATAGCAACTCCGACCTCAACTGATACTCAATGTGTGTCTCAACAGAGATTTCTGGAATGCAAGAATGTATTTTCAATATGAGATAAAAGAGAAGTTTCTGTCTTCTGTATTAGTTGCATCTTTTATTATATGAGACATTACAGTTTGACCTAAAGAAAGAACAGATAAAAATGCTACTGATTGATCTTACTGTCATAAAGCAGTTGTTCCTGCTAACAAAGAAGACATTATGTTCTCCTGCAATACATTCTGTCCTTTATAACCTTAATAGCAACATAGCCACATACAAAAATCAGAAAGTGTGTAGTTTACTCATATCCCTTCAGTATTTGTACTTCTCAAAGGGAAGGCAGAGGATGATAACCGAGAATAGTGGCTGATAAAATAGCCTGGTTAACGATCTGTGGTTATCACCAAATTGACAAAAGCAATATCCAGTCTTGACTGGAAAAACAAGAAAGCCAGACAAAAAAGAGTGTTGTTTTCTGAGATGAAACAATTTCAATCACCCTTGGAGGCTGAAGAAGTTAACGTTTCCTTTTCTGATATATTTATTTTTTAGAATTGTCAGAAAGTCTCAGATACGTTAACTTACAAATTAAACATTTTTCACTTTGACTAGAATTATTTGTTATTTTCTGTCTCCAATTGGACATCTACAGATACAAAACATACATGGAAGAGGATATAAACTATGAGGACCACGTTAACTACAGCTTTACCCAAAAGCGTTGTTCCTGCCTACATGAGCGTTTTGTACGTTAAAAGGATATGGCTTTTTAAAAATGTTATCTACTACTTGGTTTAAATACATCATTTTACAAAAGTGAACAAAAGAATTTGTGAATGCGTTTTCCAAATTTCTCCAGCTAACACAAAGCAAGGTGCTGGCAAAGTTATCAATTTGCTGATAATTCCAAACCAATCTGCTCGATAATGGAAGGCAAATTAAGATGCGGGTAAAAAACAGCTCAGGATTTAAAAGCCTTGTTCACCCATAGCTGCCAGTAGGTGGCTACTTTTTTCAGGTCGAGCAGCTGGGGAATCCTTCTTATGGTGGAAAAAAAAACTAAATCTCAAATTTTTGGCTCCTTTTGCAAATACAGTGTTAGACTGCACATCCCTTCTGCTGCTGTATTTGTCAGCAGGGAGAGAGTAGTATGGTCTTAGACAATGATTTTTATGATATTTTTTCTTGCATTTAAACAGCTTTATCTAATCCTTCCAGGTTTTGGCAGGCAGTTGGGCAGCAACTTTCTATTTAAGCTCATTTCTTTTGTAATTATCCTAAGTGTTACAACACTCTACAATTATTCTTGTGAGATATGTTAATCATTTATTATATTAGAAGTTTTGCTTTAAGGAAACTAATCATAATATCAGAGAATACTACAGTAACACTGAACATATCTATTTTGTTAGACCACTGTATCTTGGGATGGAGATAAGCTGCTTTGTGTACAGAATGGAGAAAAAGAAGGTCGTGGTTGGACCCAGTGGATTGAAGGAGATGAAATGCACCTGGTAAGATCATGTAACAGGTTTTAAATGCCACTCTATTAAAATGGTTAGGTGTAATGCAGCAGACTGTGTGCTATGTTACCTTGGCTTACTTTGACATAATTAAGTATTGGTGCAGCATTTGATTTGTTTCTAAAGCAACAATTTCATTTGGAGCCATTATGCTTTTATGTTCCTTACAAAGCCTGCCTTTTTTCAAAGCAGTACTCTTGTGTTAACTGTCTGTCCAGACACACTAGATTGAAATGTTTACAGTGAGGAAGACATTTAACAGAATGTCCTTCATACAGTCCGTGAAATATGCAGTGTGGGAGCTGATGAAATTATGCATATAACAATAAGCTGTAAGGGGAAAATATACCATTGTTCTTTTAAAATAATTACAGGCCAGGCTGCATTACAGCTTAGAAAACTAAAACAGCAATTATGTTTTTGAAATATCCTGTTCTTTTGGATCATCATTTTTATCTTTCTAAGTTAACAGGACCTGAAAAAAGATGCTTATTCTTTTCTCAGATAGCTCTTTATAGTATCCTCACTCTCTCATCAATGTGGTAAAAGGCAGTCTTCCTGCTGAGATAATAAAATCCAGCCTCCATTTCTGTTCTCTGTTCAGTACTATTAGCATTCAGCAGTCTAAATTGATGTTCTCTAAATATTCAAATCAGTAGCAGAGTTATGGACTTTGCAAAAGTACCCCAAACTCTTCATTGCTAAAGAAAATTTTCAGGAAGTACTGTAAGTTCCAGAAACCAGTTTGGGAAAGGAATATATATGACAGATCCTACCATGTGGACTACATACTTGATATAATGCAGGTAGGGAGAAAGTTACTGTGTAAGTGATCACTTTATACCTGAGGTCATGGGTAGGGCAGAAGCAATAAAAAGGAGACTCTAGAATAATATATATATATATATGTATGTATGTTTACACTCATTGGCGCTTGTACAATTTGTCACGATCCGTCTGTCATACACAACAATCTGTACAAAGTTACTTCTTGCAAAGAGAGTACCAAGTATTTTAGAGGCCAGTCTCCAATATTTCAATTTTATATTTAAATGAACTTCAAAAGATGTCCTCTTTACTTTTCTGAATCCTTGCTAAGGTAACTCCATTAAACATATAGTAAAAGGGGCCCATTTAGTATCTTATTTTTGACCAGCCAAGATTACCAGGTCCTACACTCTTGAGAGTCCTTTGATATTACGGGCAGTTGCCTCTAAAAAATTGATACTTCGATAGCTTTATGATCCTATTGAACTTCACACAATGAGTCAAGTGTTAATTTAATTCTTTCGACAGTTCTATAGAGAGTAGTACCACATCCTTAAGTAGTTTATTGCCTGCTATTTTCTCCATTTCATTCTATGGTCTGTACTTCATAGTTCTTTTTCCTCCTTAGATTCTATTTTATGTGAGTGACTTATTTGACCATTCTCCATTTTCTTTTGAGTTTTATTGCCCTTTTCTATTGTATTGATTGCTTCTGCTCTGTAGGTTTTTGTCACTGTCAGCAGAAGGAGTACACTCCTTCTTCCGGGTTACCTACACAGAAGTGAACAAAACAGGTCCTAACTAAAATCACTTTACCAGTCTGCTTGTTTCATCAATGCATCATAGAGCGCTTTCTCTTCCTAGGGTCTAGCAACCTATGCCAATAAGGTTACTGACTCAGTGTAAGGGTTTTTTAATATGTCATTTTATCGAAGTTCTCCATAAGAAAATGCGTGTAACTTCCCAGGAAACTCTGTCTCCTGTTTCTTCAAAATATTTTGACAGCTTTATTAAAAGTCTTATCTTGAAACAGAAAGTACATCCCTCTGCTTGGTCATACATAACCTTCGTCTTTATGCCCCTTAAGAAGTTCCACCCCTTTTTCTGCTTCCACCAAAACCAGTCAACACCTCCACACATCCCCACACATACTGTGTGCACTTCTCAGGTCTAACGTCAGTAGTTCCAGTAATGGGGAGGATTAAACTGCATCTTCAGTGATATTAGCTAAACAACAGCAGGCCTCACCAATGGGCGCCCAAGATGTAAACATTGTTGCAGCTGCCTACCCACAGTTCACTATGATCCAATGACTAGCAAGTACGGATTTTTTGAAAGCTCTTACGGAACAAAAAGGAACAGTAGACAGCATTAGGCATCCAGAATGGTCAAGTTCACCCAAAACTCACTGCTGTGCAGTGATTTATGGACCTAGATCAAATCTTCTGTACACAACTACCTGTCCTTTTCTAGCCATGATCATTGTGTTGCTAGAGTGGGCTTTCGGCTGATTTCTGGTTTTGTAGGTTTGAACTACCCGTCAGTCAACATACAGATTCAGAACTGGTTATTCAAATCCATCTCCAAATAATTTCTTTATGTGTCCAAAATAGAGAATGCCCATTTCAAAGACCTAAGCAGTTGCACACACTGCAAATAGAGAATAATGCACCAGGAACATATTTGGCCCTATAAGACCTGAGATCCCAAAATAACTTCGTTTATGTCACCTTTCACCAGAAAACAAACCCAAATCAGCTAGTTTCTTTTAGGATTAAAAATAGCCTAAAATATGTACAAGCTACTCAATCTAATTTGGTAGAAAATGATGGGTTCAAATTAAGCTGGACATACACATGAATGTATAATGCGTGCGTCTTATCTAAAAGTTGTATTTTTAATTATTTTCTCTTCCTAGGAAATAAGAGTGTGTGGAGTCAAGTGTAAGCAGGTCTTTAAGAAGGTACAGTGAGCCTACTGCTGATACAGAAGTGAAGAACAGTAGAATCTGCAGCCTTACCACCAAATCTCCAAATGCTAGTAATGAACATCACCAGTGACTAGAGCAAACACAGAAATGAAGATCACATTAGAACTGTATAGTTAGAATAAAATATTTTTAACAAATCCTTTTAAACAAATAACTGCAAATAAAACTATTTTTAGAAATGTCAGAGATACTAAACACTATAAGTGTGTGCGTACCATCATTCTTGTCTACACCAAAATAGGACTGTTTGAAATAAAACAACATACTGGAGTTTAAGACCTTGTAAGCTAATTTTTTTACTTACAATGGAACTAACACTTCCATAGCCTTAGCAAGGAGCCTTCAGGTTTCTTCCGAAAATTTTACCATCGGCTGCAATGGAGCAGCACTTCACTGAAAGTATTCCACCAAAAATAAAAATCTGATTTCTCAAAATAAGTAAAAACATGGATCAGTAGTCTGAAAAAACAGTACGTAATAGAAGCATGGCCAAAGGGCAGTTCTTTTCTAAGTGCTTTAGCCAATATCTGCCCATTCTTTTTTTTTTTCTTATTCTGGAGACACTAATAGTAAGATCACTGCTAGAAACTGTATAATTGTACACACAGCGCACACAAGATATAACTGGCATTGCTTTTTGCAATGTCATTTGCAGATTTTTTTTTGACCCATCATAGTCTTCGCTTTCTCAGGCAGACTGAGTGCGTAACAAAGCACTGGCCCAGCAGTTTCCAACGCTGATTTAGTCACTAGTTATTTTAATAGTAATTTGCAAACCAAATTGTCCTATTTTCAGTCTGTCAACACACTGGATATACAGTTAGCACCACAACTTCACATCAGGTTCAAAAAGACACAATGATACAGGGTGCCTGGGTGGGTCCGACCTTCAGCACATGGCACAGTATTACAAGTGTGTCCTGTAACAACTGTTCTTAGCCATTTTCAGGAACTTAATCAGCGGGGAAGTTGCTATGGCAGAATCTGAATTGTTCTAAAATGGGAACATACTTTTTCAACTCCTGTGTGTAGCATTGCTTTTGCCTTCTTTGGGAACCCAGTGCTGAGACTGAGGGAAATTTTACATGTACCTTATGCAAATGGGAAAAATGGTGCAATTCTCTACTAACCAGAGACAGTTTTAAAATATGCACTATTATTAAGCCTGTTTAGAACAGCTAGCAGCCTGGTCTAACATGAAGAAATGGAGGTTCAGAAACAGTCATTGTAAACTACAAAGTTAGTATAGCAGGGATGGTAAACTTTCTGAACTTTGGTATTTCAACCGTGCTATATATGTCATGCGTGTAGCACCAGATGTGCTATAATGGACATCTCATTCAATTTTGTAAAGTTTCGGGTTTTACTTTACATCAGAATGTACGCAGAAAATATTATCCATGAAGACTTAAGTACCCCCATGTGATAAACAGGTGAAAAATACTCCTTCTCCATGTAAATTCTTGTGTAACTATTCCAACAGCTGTGGCTCAGTGTACTGCTTAGAATTACGGATATATGTAATGCAATTGTTTACTATATGTTCCCTTTTCTTTTTTTTCTTGGCAATACATAATACTTATGCCTAAGGAAGACTCCCAAAACTATACTTGAGCCTAGTCAACCACATACCGTGCAAAAGCTGTTTTTCTCGCACAAAGAGCGCGTTAGCCATCTAGCTATGTTTCTGTAACTAAATGGATGTTCCTCCTGACCAATGTACAGACCAGCAGTTAACAGTGATTACGTTTTCTTGTACTTCGAGTGGGACAGGTCAAAACTGGTTACAGTTGAATAGGATAGAAAGGTTGTGGGGGAGGGAAACGAATCAGAAACCTGTGTATCTCAGGTGAAAAATACTGCTCTGCTTAACTGAAATTGCGAGTAGCTGTCTACTTAAAATGTTATTTATCACCTTAAATAAGGTTGGGAATATCCCAGTTGCCAAATTTCAGTGCATCAGTCATTTGTTTTCTTGAAAGATTATTGGACAAAGAAACTTCTTTCCTTCAAGTTTCTAAATTATTGATTTCATAACCATGCACACCCGCCAGACATCTGTACGCTCTTCAGCCCCAAGGAAAGCTAGAGAATAATGGAAAATAAGGAATCAACTCCAGCTTCTTGTGTGTAACATCTTATTTTTTTCGGACTACCTACATTTTCCTTCTCATGTGAAAATCGAAACTACACAATAAAGAGATAGTACACACCACTATCCACAATTAAACTTTGCACAATTTTTTTTAATGTTTAGCACTGACAGAGACCTTTTTTGAAATGTAGTTTTCATTCAATAGAACTTGGCAGTTCATAACCCTTAACTCACCAGATGTCTTCTAATTTTTGCCTCCAGCTCTCTACAGTCTTGTGTAACATTCACAAACTCTTTTTGCAAAAGGTGGTAAGTGGATCAATTAAATCTAGCAAAGTAAATTCAATTGTTAAAAGCTATTATTATTGTAATCAGACAGCTTTTCCCCTTTGGGTCATTTGGTACAGAGGCAAATTTAGCACAGCACTAATAACTAATGGCTTATCAACCAGAAGCAATGTAACCTGCTTCTAATTATGGAGAAAAGGCAAGCTCAGGAATTACTTCCACAGTTCACATATGTAAAATACAGAAACTTCAGGAATATTTAACTTTGAATACATTCTCTTCAAATAATCTCAATTGCTTGTCATTATAAATGTAACATCTTATCTCTACTGCAGCAACCATTTCCGTTGGAAAAGGAAATTATGTTCGTTCATTGCTTCCATGATGATGCTCTCCAAATAACGCGTATAAAATTAGCCATGCTGTTTCCATAAACCTTTAACAACTTGTTATCATAAAATGTAATTTAAAACTTCCTCCATAAAATAGCTGCTGACTGAATGCGTAACATGGAACAATTACTTGACAAACATCAGCCTCCTTGACTACTTTCAAAGCTACTTAGTAGCCAAGACCTTCACAGTGAATTCATATCCAGACTTGCTTACTACTCAAGAATCAAACTTCATATTAAATTTTATTGATCTTCCACAGAATTGCAGCTGCGGTTCACTGATACCAACCCTGTATTTCTGCACAACTGCATTACTTCCAGATAATAGATACTTTAAATTTCGTAAGGAAAGACCAGTGCTTACAGCAGCAGTGTGAATGGAAAGGCGAAAAGGTGCATTTCACCATTTCTAAAAATTCAATCCAGTCTTGATATTATGCTCAGTCCAGAAAACCCTAGGTGACAAAAGCTGAGGAGTAAATTAAGGCTAATGTGTTCCATAAGCATGATTGTTCTTCAGTTCCCACAGTTCAGTCTTTTATGTTTATTTTCTAGGTGGGTATGATTTTCTGAAGATGACTGGGGAACTCACTGCCACATTTTATACTTCTGTGGCTTTTCGGTGAAGGGCACACACAGAAGACATTTGCTGTCTTTACAGCACGCGAAGGCGTGTTGTGCATATGAAGTTTCAGCTTTATGGAAGAAGTAGAGAGAGAACCGTGCTTTTAGCAAGCATGGTGCAACAGAGCAAAATTTGGAGCCCGAAGGTTCAGGATGGGAAAACAAGCAGCGATGTGTAATACAGCTATGAGCAACCTGCTTAGCTTTGCCAGAGATACAGAGAATTAAACAAACATTAGGGATAAACCAAGCTCAAAGTACCTGAGGTATTTAGCGGTATTATAGCTATAAGTCTACCCAAAACTTCTCAGATATTCACCTGATTTTTCCAGGAAAAAAAGTAATTTTGGTTTGATAATGTCAACTTCAACTTCCTGCAACATTGTTGAAGTATTTTGTGCAGATATTTTCATTATAAGCCCCTTATACTTAAGATAATGTCTACTTCTAAAATGCATCCAAAAGTTTGGATTTGCATTTCTCTCTTACACTGCTACTTTATTTCTTCCTGATAAATTCAGTCCTTTTTTTGCAGGTCAGAGTGACTACAGCTTAGACGTTGAAATTTGTTCCAGTCCTGGGTATTCAACCTACCGTTAACTTACTGCTCCCCTAACTTCCTCCTACTCCTCCTCCCTCTTCCCTCTATTCCCTTTTCCCTCTATTCCTCTGTCCCCCTTTTCCCTCTTTACTAAATATTCTTACAGATTTAAGTAGTAAATTGTCCACTGTCTTACGGTGGACAGCAGGTTAGGCAGATGAATAGCAGCTTAAGAGGCTCCTCACAGAAAGGACACTTCTGAGACCTATACTTCCCCTTCTCTTCACCTGTTTTTCAACTTAATTTAGCAATAAAGAATAAACATTTAGTGTGACCCTCAGCTGCCTTTTCCATGGTGTTTGTGATTGTTCACCATCTGATCTACCCATGTCATTACACAACAAAAATAGGAAAAGGATTAATTCAGGTTGTGTGCTTAGAACATGTGATGATAAAGAAATAAGGCTTTCACGGAGTAGAACATGAAAGAAGTTTCAGTAGGATTTGAAAATCATAAAGTATCTGCAAATGCAAAGGATCAGGCAAAGAACTGAAACCCTTTGTAGTGCCATGATCTGCAAAGAAAACAGAACGGTCTTTTAAGAGTAGGAGGAGAGGGAAGGGCAAGAAAGAGAGAAGAAAAATTAGCATCACTAATATTTTTTACCAAGTTGATGATGTTTGATAATCTGTACATATATATTACATATATATATGTATATATGTATACATATATATACATATATATATGCTACCATATAAGATAGCATAATCTGTACAGATATATTCATTTGGAAAATGATTTGTTTTATATTTTGTATTCATAATTCAAAACATATATATTAATTTTAGTGGGGCAAATAAGGGTATAAAGCATTTATCTCAAATTTTTGATGTGAGTGCAAATCTGATCTAATCTATACAAAATACATGTATGTCTAAGGACTCTTCATTTTTTGTTTCTGTATTCTAGAAATCTAGGATTTTTTAATAGATACCAAAATATTTTGCTGTCATGAAAGAAAGTAAATTAAACCAGACCCCATTACCCAAAGAGGTATTTTAATATTAATTAATATTATTATATGAATTGTATTAATTAATCTTGTGAAATGCCCTTAATGCTACATAATAAGACTAACATTATAACACAATGCAGAAATAATTGCTTAGTGTGATCTATGGTATCAGTTTTATTATAAAATAAGGATGAGTGGGCTGAATGGCAAATGCCTTATAACGAGAAGGCGCACTGGATTCC